TTGCCTAGCGACCGCGATATCCCTCGGTGACGTCACCGCGGAGGGGAGTGGCAGGGCGGGAACTCGCCTATTACCGTAAGAACGCGAGCGTTACGTTACCGCCACGTACCGCTGGGGAGGTAGGGGTCAACAGGTCACAATATATATATATACACACATTCATATTTAATTTTATTTAAAAATTAAGTGAAACAAAATTATGTCCATAAGTAAATTACGCTTTTATTTTCTATATATTTGGCATATAATGTAAGACAGGTTGTTTTTAAAACAGTGCAGGATGAAATGCACCTGTTTGTTATATACATTTCCATTCGGAAACATGTTGTGCATTCCCTCTGCCTGCAGTTGATAAATGTACTTAGGCTGCCATTGCATATAGGTAACATCTCTATATTTTATGGTTGAAGGTTGGTATTTTTCATTCTTGTCACATGACAAATCATCATCTTCACTCATTATAGTTCAACATTCTCATGTTTTTTGTACTACCTACATTAAAAAAGCTCCCAGTGCTCTTTGTGTATAACTTCTTAAGTTAAAAGCTTGCAGAAGAAAAGTTGAACAGAATGACAGGACAGAAATCTGATGTCAGTTAAAAATTTACAGTTCATTGAAAATGCATATATCCATGTGATATTTCTAAGGGCTTGAATCAAATAGTCTGTGAGGGTTGAAAAGAACCTGGTCTGTTATATACGTGTAATACAGAACAGTTTATGTGTATTGAAAAGCAATGCTGGAATTGTTAAGACAGTTAATAGCAAACTAAAAAGATGCATATCAGGTCTGTGTTCACATACATACATACATTTCATTTTATAAATCCAAAACAAATGGACATGAAAGGTCATCATTTCAATGAATAAATAAAAACTAATGCAAGTTAGTGTGAATCATGTTTGTTGTATGACAAGGCTTGCGGAATGAATATGACATCCCATCACATTTTCCTGTTACAGTTTAACATTCATTCATTCATTCATTCATTCATTTATTTTACATTCCATACATCCACAGTACAACAGGTAGGATATGGAACACGTCAAGTGGTACATATATAAAAGACAGATAAGCCAAAAAATAGAATAAAATAAAATGATGACAGAAATATAAAAAGTTCTATTACTAATAGTTTTAAATCTTGGTGACAATAAACATAATTTATTAAACTATATATATAAATTCTTTGATATGTCATTGACTTGCAATAGCCTTAAATTGAAGATATTCATCAATGGAATAAAAGTAATGTGTGTAAAGAAAATGTTTTAGACACGCTTCAAATTTCCTTGGATTATGAGATATGTCTTTAATATGTGGAGGAAGATTGTTAAATCTAATGCCCATACAGTACACTCCCTTTTGGTAAACTGTAAGATTTGCTGTAGGCAGATAAAAATTATTTGATTGTCTTGTTCCTGTATTATGCTTTACTGAATTTAAAATAAAGAGATCGTTGTTATTGACCACAAACAACATGAGTGAAAAAATATATTGTGATGCAAGAGGCAAAATTTCCAACTTCCTAAAGAAATTCCTGCATGAAGCCCTGCTCCTACAGCCCATCATAATTCTTATTATTCTTTTTTGTGTTCTAAATATTTTTAAACTGTGGGGCGAATTTCCCCAGAACAGTAAGCCATAGCTTATAATCGAATTAAAATATGAATAATAAATAATTTTCAGAACATTGAAAGACATATATGACTTAATACTCCTCATAATATAACATATCAAACTCAGTATTGGGATAATACATTCAATATGACCTCTCCAGTTCAATGAATCATTTATATTTATGCCAAGGGTCTTAATATTAGACACAGTTATTACTGGTTGATTGTTATAAACGATAATTACATTTAATTTTAGTTTTAAAATGAATACAATGAGTTTTGTTAACATTTATTGAAAGTAAATTTGTCTTGAACCATTTATTTACGCAAGTGAAGGTGTTAGACATCTTATTTCGAAAGTCCCCTAAGCTAGAACCTTTGACTAATATGCTTGTATCATCAGCAAACAAAATAGGTATAGCATTACCGTCTACAGTTTTGGGCAAATCATTAATATAAATATTAAGGCGAAATAATAGCTGTGACATAGCTTAGGCAGTTAATCACCATCTTGCCACCACAGAGGCCAAGGTTAAGGCCCAGGTAGTCCATGTGCACTTTGCAGTGGACAGAATGGCACTGAGACAGGTTTCTTTTTGAGGACTTCTGTTCTTCCATGCCAATTATTCCACCAGTGCTCCATTCTTATCTAGAGTTGAGACAGTAGGCTGGTTCATCTGAGTTTAACATATCAAGATACTAGTCATAACCCCATTCATACAACTAAACTAAGGGCAAAATATGAGGGCTATCTGGAATGTACCCTCAGGTGAGCTGTTAACAAAATAACGAGAAAAAAGAATTTATTATATACAAATAGTGCATACACACTTAAGGTACTTCTCAACATAGTCACTGCTGGAACTGAGGCACTTGTTGTATGGGGGAATACCGTATTTACGCATGTATAGGCCGCGTGCGTGTATAGGCCGCAGCACAATTTTCAGACAGAAATTATAGAAAAAATAATTTTCTTGGAATATTATTTCAGGAGTATTACTNAGGGGTGGTCAAACAACTGGTTGAAATGCTCAAACATTGCTTGAGTGTGAGCAGCTGTATGAAGCTACTTCTCAACATAATCACTGCTGGAACTGAGGCACTTGTTGTATGGGGGAATAAGGTTGTAGCCTGTGTCAAAGAAGTCTGTGACCCGTGAGCTCGGCCATGTTTTGAGACCTTCCATCAGCTCATTACTATTGGAGCACTGTGATCCAAACCAGTTCTTCATGTAGGTAAAAGTAAATAGGTGGTAGTCACTCAGAGCAAGATCAGGGTTGTAATGGGGGTGGACAAACAACTCCTGGTTGAAATAGCTCCAGCATTGCTCGAGTGTGAGCAGCTGTATGTGGACACGCACTGTCATGGAAGAGCACTACACCGGTTTTCAGCAGTCCACACCCTTTGTTCTGAATGGACCTATGCAGTTTTTTTTTAGTATTTCTTAATTCACTTGTGACATTATTCTGGTCCCCATTTATGTGCATTCCACCATCAGCACTCCCTTCCCAGAAAACAGTTGCTATCAGCTTTCTGGCAGGCAGACAATGTTTGTTTAAACTTTTTAGGCTTCTTTGGTGAATGTGTGTGCATCCACTGCTTTGACCACTCCTTGGTTTCAGCATTCACAAATGAAACCCAAGTTTCATCACCTGTTATTAATATAATGTGAGTTGAGAGGTTCATTGCCATCTTTGTGGTACCAATCTAAAAAGTCTGGATTTTGTGTACACCCATGAGCATTTTGGAACCCATCTTGCTCAAAACTTGTGATAGCCTAGTGTGTGATAATATCGTAGAGAAGAGTGTATGAAATTTGTGTAAATTCACACGGAACTTCTGAAATTGTGAAGCATCATCTTTCACAAATTTTTTGGTCAACATTTTTTTACACATTTTTGAATATTCTACATCATTCACAATTACTGGGTTTTGGGGCTTTTTCCATCTGGTATCCTAGAAAATAGACAACATTTCAGAAATTGGATCTGTTTCTGTCCTCAGAATGTTGTGTGTTCTATTTTCTAGAATACCAGACGGTGGAAAAAATCCAAAAACTCAGTAATCCTGTGTGTTATACAGCATCATCAGAACCCTTTAGAATCTAATTCTGTGCCATTGTCTTAAAGTTCCTTCACTCATTGCATTTTGGCCATAAAACATCGTGTATAATTGATGATGGATTATCAATTGCATGACACATCATAACGCACTCTCTAGAGACAAGAACAAACACTAGGTGACCAGTTATATGATGTTTTACAAGGCAGTGAATCATAGGGCACTACCCTGCTTGTGCGAGCTCTCCCCCACTCCTACATTAGTGCCGTAAAATAAACAGAGTTTACTTTCAGAATAGCTGTTATATACTATACTGTACTTCATATTTTTTCCCTTGTCACTACAGCCCCAGTGGGCCTAGGCCTACCTCCATGAACTCTGTTCACTTCGGTTTTTCTAGATCTTACACATAACGGTAGGACTCCTTGGGCGAGTGATCAGCTCGTCGCAAGGCCTCTACCTGTAGACAAACACAGAAAATCGCACAGACACATCCATGCCCTGAGTGGGATTCGAACCCATGATCCCGGCTTCCAAGCGAGCCAAGACAGTGCATGACTTAGACCGCTCGACTACCGTGACTGGCACTGTACTTCATATACCCACATCAAAATATTGCCAGTGCTCACAGAATAGACACAATACACTGAAACCAAAGACTGCTAATACATTTGTGACATACTGAATACCATACATTCATGGAACATATTAACGCTTGACAGTTCATTGCTCTAGTAACTTGAAGTAATGAGAATGATAAACCTCATGCTTAAAATTTTTGTATTTACAAAAGAATATTTTCTTTGTGTAAAATATATTTTGTGTGTGTTTATTTGTTTATTAAGTCCACAGTTGGTAATCTGACTGAATGTTTTGTGATACATTTGTTCACACAGAACACTCCATTAACTAAGCATGAAATAATATGAAATGATTCATTTTGCTTGTATTCCTTCATATTTTATTGTGACTTTTTTTATAGTAGACTTGTCAGTTTCTCCATAGTATAGGTGTGTAGACTAGTATACAGAAGTAGGTGTACTGGATGATGACATGTGTCACGTTTCTGGTATTTTATGAATAAGAACAGACTGGTGCATGTATAGGAAAATCTCCATTAAAACTGAAATGCTATAGTAAAAAGTATGTACAATACAGCAGATTTCTTGAAACAGTAAAATCCATTTTCCCATAAACAACTCTTTCTTCTCCCATAGTAATATGGCAATCTAATTAGTAAGTGAAGACATCATGCCTGTAATGTGTTTCTGTTTGTGATCTTTCAGAACCGTGGATGAGACACATGAGCCGCAGTACTCTTCATACATATTATGGTAGTCCACATGTAAGGGAGTCACTATATGACAGAGATCGTCCTAAAGAAGCATGTTCCAGTACCATGTAAGTTGATAATTGTAAATAGTTTTAACCCTTTCACTATCAACCTAGGTTCAGGCTATGGATGCAATCTGCCAGGAATGTCTGGACTATTTAAGTGCCGGAGGGTCTGGGCCCCACCAATATTTCATGCCTGCATGTATAAGAAGTAATTTGATTCATCTATATTTTGTTTACATTTAATATATCATAGAAATAGTTGTCAAAATCTGCAAAGATATGTGTGTTTCAAGAATTTCATAGGCAGTCTTTTGGCATGGATCCCAGCTTTAGCACAGTTTTCCATCAGAAGTTTTCCACTTGCATATGTAGCTCAGTCTGTTGTGCAGCCATTTGGGCCAGGATGTCAGGGCTCAGCGAGAAGTGTATATATGTTCATGTCTTCCTCACTGGTCAGAACACCTTGCACCAAATCCTGGCTCCACTTGTTCAGATGTCATGAGCAATACTGTTTATCCCAAGGATATACTCTAAACCTCACTTAGCATATATTCTGACACCTGTTCTAGGGGCATTAATTTATGTGTGTGCCATGTACAATTTTCCTTCTTGACAAAGAAGGGTTTCTCTTTGCATAATGGTTTCTTCTTTTCTGTCTCTTTGTATATTGCAGTTTTGAACAAAATAATTTCAACAAACAATAATTTTAATTAATGATCATACCATGCAGGTAACTATTCTGTCAGAAACATAGAAGGTAAAAACTAATATTTTTACACACTAAATAATATGACTGGTAAACAGCAGCATTTAGAAATACAAGTACAATTTCTTAGTTCATAGTTTTGCAGATGCTTTATACTTTACACCAGTCTTTCTTAACTCACACATTGTGAAGAAGCTAGCATATTTCCAGAGCCCTGGTTGGCTGAATTTAAATTTATTGATTTAACTTATCATGTAATGGATGCATATAGGATAGTGATGGGAAAGCCAGAAGGAAAGAGACCACTGGGAAGACCAAGGCATAGGGGGGTGGACAATATTAAAATGGATCTGAGAGAGATGGAATCGGATGGTATGGATTGATCTGGCTCAGGGTAGGGACCGGTGGAGGGCTCTTGTGAACACGGTAGTGAACTTTCGGGTTCCATAAAATGCTGGGAAATTCTTGAATAGCTGCACAATTTGTGGCTTCTCAAGAATGTCTCAGCTCCATAAGTAAGTAAGTAAGTAAGTAAGTAACTTGTCATATAATACACTTTTTGCATTTAAGAGATGTGGATTAAATTCTAAGGTTAGCTGTCCTGGCTAAGAGATCTGTTCTTCAAGTGAATTCTTCAGTAGTTGCTTAAAATAGGCCTGGCTGTGTAGGCCGGCTTCCCTGTCCTCCTGTTTGTCCCTCCTCCACTGCCTTCTCCACCTCTTTATCACCATCCATTGACATTTCCACTGGCATGGGTCATCTTATGACAGTCTTCTCCTTTCTTCTATATTGTAACGTGTTGTCCGAGGGCCTCATGTAATGTCTTCATGCTTCTAAGAATGGGTTCCTTGAAGTTTTGTCTCCTTAGTCTTCTGTTGTCTCCCGGGTGCGCTAGACGTCGCTTCCAGAGCGCTTGCCTTTTCTGGGATCTTGCTGGAGCATTGTCTCTGTCTCTTCCTGATTCTCTCAGTGACCAATTCCTTCTGCTGTCGACATTTNACATTGTCTCTGTCTCTGTGTCTCCTACGTCATACCACTTCTGTGCGGCGGGTCTTCCTGATTCTCTCAGTGACCAATTCCTTCTGCTGTCGACATTTTTCCTGGGTCATGTTCACCATGAGGATATCTCTCTTGAGTCGTGCCACTGTTGCACCGCTAGTCATATTTCTGTCAGCAGTCAATTCATGCCGCAGTCCACACTTCCCTTGGGTCGTAGATTTCCTGAAGATGTTTCTCTTGAGCCATGCCATTGTTGCATGGCAGGACACCCTCCAGTCGGTTTGTGTTTTCTGTGCCACTTTCACACGGCGGCTCGTCCCTCTGCGGGCTATGGCCAACTTCTTCTGGGGTCCACAATTTTCCTGTGTCGAATTCTTCATATTTCGCTGGTTTCGGTCCCTACGCATTTTCTTCTTTGGTTCTCCAACCGGTATTACTTCAGCGTCTTCTATGGGGACATCTCATTCTGCCGCCTCAGGTTTCCTGTCCAGTGAGGTCAGCTGTTCTTCTTCCAGACATGCCTCCATCTCTTGGCAGGCCATCATCTCTTTTCTGGTTTTCGTTGCTTCTTCTTCAGGTTCTCCAACTGGTATCACTATGGGGACCTCTTCTTGTTGTGCCACCACAGGTTTTGTGTCCACTGAGGCCGGCTTTCCTTCTTCTAGATGTGCCTCCATTTCCTGGCAGGCAACTGTCTCCATGTCTCTTTCTGGTTTAGTTTTGGCAGCCATCTCCTTGTGGCTGGTGGCGATATTTTGTCGCGTGGCTTTCATCCTTGCTTCAATCGCTTCCGTTTCTGCAGCAGTCATTTCTCGCCAGACCCTCATCTCTTTCAGCAGGAGTTCCATCATCTGCTGTGAGTCCATCTTTGTTGCAGTAAAATTCTCAATGCACAATAATTAGTTTGTGTCGTGTTTAAGTTCGTAGACAATTCTGACACCAGTGTAACGTGTTTTGCCACTGAAGACACCATTCAGATTGTTAATTGGTTTATTTAACAACCTACAAATCGTAACTACAGTTAGTTATAACACAGTTGCGGGTTTACCCAATTTATAAACCGTACACAATAATCTAGTCACTTTGTCTTCAGTAGTCTTCACATATTTATAACGCGGGAGCTACACAAGTCTCTGTGAATTACACTCTCCCAACGTAACTGTTCTGCGGCACACACAAAATCTTGAAGTCACATAATAAGTCTTCGCTGGCTGACATCTAAGTTATCGCACGCTATCAGATCTTCTAACCACGCTATATTTTCAACTGTCTTCGGAGGCTGCTACATTTTAACTAACTGTCTTCGATGGCTGCTACACTTTAATTAACTCCTTAGGCAGTGCAGTTCTCTTATAAACCCTTAGCCAGACAACGGGAAAACACCTCGCTTTTTTGTTGCCTAGTCGCCATGTTTACAGGTGTTGCCTAGCAACACTGTCGAGAGTCACTGTTGTCACCTGCCATGTCACAGTGGGAAGCGCTGCCACGTTACCGCGGGGGAGGGGGCAGGACGCTGACCGGCCCGTCACCGTAGCAGTGGCAGCACTGTTACGCCACCCCTGGCGGGGGAGGGGGTGTCCTGCATGGCACAAATACGTCACAATATCCTCTCATAAGTAGACCTTTTGTATTTTCTGCCCACTCTTACTGTCATTTGTATTTCTTCCCTTACCTAGTCTGTCCATGCAGTCAGTCCTTGATTTTCGCAGTGGCTTTTGACATTTGATGTCATTTTATGTGCTTTCAAAGATCTGCCCATTATCATTGCTTTGCAGTGCATGCTCAACAATAACATTCTTTGGCTCAGTAAGCAAGCTGTATAATGGATATCCAGAACAAATATAGATCACTCCGTCCAATGTGACCTGTAAGTTTATTACTACATGAAAACTTAACACCCTGACATGTTTCGGTCTCTGCGGACCATCTTCAGAGGGCAAACATCACTACAAATAGGAAACCACCATCACATAAGTTGTTTAGACGTAAAGTACGTACACTTATATGCTACAATGCATAGTACACAAAACAGAACATTTCACAAACACAGCAGTTTCCTGGGAATGTAAAGTTTTTAAAAAATAAAATTTCTTGATGCTAATTAAAAATTTGCATTGTCAATAATTAAAATTCATAAACCTTGCAGGCTCCTGTTCGTCCTCCCATCGTCCCTCTTGTATGGGGCAGATATTGTGCCACCTGTCTATCTTAAGTTTTCATGTAGTAATAAACTTACAGGTCACATTGGACGGAGTGATTTATATTTGTAATTGTTAGTGTGACGGACCAGAATGAAACAAATCAAAGATATCCAGAACCCTTATTCTGTTAATGGATGAGTATGATTTTTGATGCATTACATGTATAAATGCAAACTCAAAGTAATATATCTAGCCACACTGCAGATTTGTATCTACTACTCATCAGTGTCCCTGCAGGAAAGAAAAAATAGAGTATGCGCCAAAAAATACAGTACTTAAATGAAAAGACGAACAGTATTATCTTGTTGTCATCAGTGAGTTTATTTCTCCTGGCAGAAACTAACATACACACTATTAGCATGTTGATTTACCACGGTATGCATAATGTAAGTTTTTGAAGGGTGCACTGCTTCGCTGTAGACAGTGTTCATATCATTCACGCAGGTTCTCAGTCATATCTCGGAACAAAGATTGCTGAAGACTCCTGCTAAAGGAGACTATTTGCTCGCGTAATGCAAGCACAGTTCTTGGTGGATCATCACAGTTGAACACACTCTCCTTTCACATTCTCCACAAGTAGGCATTCCTCAAGAAATCAGGATTCTCATACACCATGGCCAAAAATGTTCCACAGTACACCATCCTGGCTCGCATATCTGACTCTGTCAAGCATTGTCCAACCTGTATCTGGTACGGAAATCCACCTATGTCCTTAAACAATCGGCAAATGGACGTATTGCTGATGTTCAGTTTCAAGGCCATTCGTTGTAGACTTTGTCGGGGCTAATGCAGCACCTGCTGAAGAACACGTGCATGATTCTCTTTTATCGAAACAGTTACTGGTCAACCAGACTTCCCCTTCTGTTGACACAGTACACTATCACAATGGCGAAATTTTGTAACAATAGATAGCATAACTGTGTTACTTGGTGCCGTCTTATTAAATCTCTCTTGGAATTGTTCTGTCACATTTTTCAAACTAGGTCCCCCTAGGTCTGCTTTTACCGGTTCTCACGGTCTCTTTCCTTGCAGATTTCTTATATATTTTTTCTTCTACCCTGAAGATGGAGGCGATACGTTCCTCCGAAACGTCGGTTAACACCACATATACATGGTGCCAAATCCCAGAAGACTGCTTTCTTCATAGGTCCCCCTTCATGAACACTTCCATATGAGCGGAAATAATACTCAACTTTGAATACTTTTTCCTCCGTTGAAAGACCCATTTTGAACAACAACTGCACAACACAACTTCCTTTTCACTACTGGGAACATGTGTGGCTCAAGCTATGCCCCGTTGACAAACGCACATGCGCGTTCGAGATGTGCAAGTTTCAGTACTGCAATTTTTGGTGCATACTGTATTAGCATTTCTCTTAAGTTATTCTTTTCTCCTGAAGAATATGCTGAAGTTATTTAAGTGATGGAGGACAGCAACTCTGCTTTGTAGTTATTAGCACTTTTGGACCCTAATCAGCAGCATTGACTTCATTGAATTTTACAGTGAACCAGGGGGCACACCGTAGTATAATTGTTCAAGGCACTATGATATAAGCCGGAAGGTCATGGGATGAATTCCCGATGGATTTTTCAAATGACCTAATCCTTCCAGCCGCACTATGGCCCTGGGGTCGACTCAGCCTCTAATAGAAATGAGTACCAGGAATTTTCCTGGGGGGTAAAAGGGCAGCAAGCACATAAGGCTGACAACCTTACCGCCATCTACAAGCTGACTGTCTAGAACCTATGGGAGCCTAGCCCTCTCCTACCCCTATGGGCCTTCGTGGCCTATTACAAGGACAGCTTAACTTACCTTTTACATTGAACCATGACATTTTCCGAAGTTAATTTTAGATCTGCTGCAATTGTATTTTCTGAATCAAAGCTATTTAAACTATGTTTCATTAAGTGCATGTAGTCTATACCATAGGCATGTGCTGGTCTTGCTCCATCTCTGGATGATTTCACAATTTCGCTGTTTATTTCTTATGTAAGATAATTGTAGATGTAAGATATTGTAAGGTAAAGTTGTTCCTGAACTTAACTAATTAAGCATTATTCTACAAAGGTGTATGGGGGAGTGGATGTATAGATCCACATTTTCTTGACCTTGACACTAGCTGGAGGTGAGTGGTCAGCTTCACGCGCCACCGCTTTACCCCCCAGGAAAGAGCACCCTTGTACCCATTGGTAGGAGGTTTGGTGGACCCCAGAGCCAGTCTGAATGATGTGGAGAAGAGAAAATTCTTGACCCTACCAGGACTTGAATTCCAACCCCTCAGCCGTGCAGCCTGTAGACAGTCGCTGAACCAACTACACTATCCCAGCTCCCGATAAATATATAGTAGCAAGAATAAAATACTGAACTCTGTGTCAGAGGTCTCAGATTCAAGACTGGTAAAGTTCAATATGGATTTACTGCATTCTTTCACCAGTCTTCACTTCTGCCAAAGTCAAAACTTTGAGAATATGGGCACTACCAGGACCCCCATGATGATTCAGGGTCTAGACTAAGTTGTGGGCTCTTATTGTCAGCCAACATCTTCATTGCTCTGTAGCTGTCAACAGAATCCCACTTCTACCAACTACATCCTTGTCAGATGGATGTTAGGGAAGCCAGAAACCATAAGAAACAACCAGACAGTTGGAACATAGACTCCCGTATTTTAGATTCAATGAGCAGATCTCACAAGCCCAATTTTCTGATTTATGTGTATGACCCATGGTATCAAGTATAAATAAGTTTTATGTTTTAACATTGTAGGAGTTGTTTCAAGAATCGATATGTCTGGTGGTGGGAGCAAGGTGTCAAAGTTCATGATGCCCACACTGCTGAGGAAGGTAAACTGCACAGAGACCAGCTCGTATCTTTTGTCCACAGGAAATGCATCCGCAGAACAAAGACAAGATGAGTATCAAGCATCAGTGCATCAGTCTACAAACAGGAATCGTTATTCAGTGAATAATATCTTCATAAATATTTCAATGGATAAACATGACATGTGGTGGAAATTTCATTGCTTCAGCTAGGGTGTAAAGAGCCCACATTGTGATCCTTGTGAGTGAGAATTTTGAGTACTGTCTGGACACTGAAGGCAGTTCGTAGGTAGCTTTTCCAACTTTACCTACCATTGGTGTAGGCTGCCTGCACTGCTGTCCTTGCACTCTTTACAACCATGCATCTTCAAGACCCAGTTAAACAGTAACATAGGAAAGAAATCACATAGTTTCAGATATATTACCATAATTCCTTCCTTTAGAAAAATCTTTATTAGAATCTGTCACAACACAACAATGAGATGGTCAAGGTCAGTATTACCTTAGCTACATGTTTCGGCTTTTAAAGCCATCATCAGGCAAATACACAGCCACTACACTCACAAACTATTTAACTAAATTGCAATACGATGGTATAATAGTGCTGGATACTTGACACACTATAATAATATGAAGTATAAAAAATACAATAAAAGTATAAAATTGATATAAAACGAAAGTTATGCAATTAAAAATATGGTTAAAACTATTCATGTAATATTTCATATTATGAAGTCTGTTGTTGCAATTGTATTGTTATATTCCAGAGGACATATAGTGGTATTAATCTTGCCTTGTACTCGTATGGAAAGGTTAACTGCTTGGAGGCCCGTGGCATTAGTGCAGTATTATTTAGTATTTATTGTTTGACCGGTGCCTGATTTTACGTGTATATGTCCGTTCTGGTGGGGAGACAGATTGCACCTTGTCTCATTGTTGTGTTGAGGTAGATTCTAATAAAGTTTTTGTATAATAAACACAACAGGATGCACCCAATGAAAAATCCTTCTTTTAGTGTTATACTGAAAGCATTTTGGAACAGTGCAAACTACACATAACACCAGTGTTTAATTTACCAGGACTGGTTTGCTTTCAAATGTATACACAGTTTACAGTAACCTATTCTAAGCATCTTCGCAAAAATTGTATATTGACTGTTATCTTCACTATAATATTCTGGGGGTATGTTCTGCCACAGTTTGGTACAGGATGTATACATGACAATTTGTCAAGCAGGTTTTATGATGAGTCACATTAATCCATCAGCATTGCTAACAGACAGCCAAATGTTGTTCATTTCCAAATTTATTTGTGTGATTCTCATAAAATTCAGTTTAGTTAACATGCTCAAGAAATTACCATGGACCAGCATTATTCTGTTGACATTGCCATCATATTTAATGTTATAGGAACATGTCTGTATATCACAGATTGTAATTTTTGACATCCTGCTAAAATTAGGATTACTTTTTTGTCAGTGTTCTGTGCTGATAAATGAAAGGTTTCGCTTAAATTATTGCGCTGTTGAACACTTATAAATCTAGAAGTCTGTTCAGCCAAAGTTTTCTGTTGCCTGTGAACCATTTAATTTCACAGTGACTTAGTCATATAAGGGAGCAGGCGGTAGCATAGTTGGTTGAGGCACTATGCTACAAGCTGGAAGGTCACGGGACCAAATCCTGATGAGTTGGATTTTTTTCAGTTTACCTAATCCTTCCAGCTGCACTATGGCCATGGGGTCGACTCAGCCTCTAACAGAAATGAGTACTAGGGGGTAAAGGGCAGCCGGCACATAAGGCTGACAACCTTACTGCCATATATGAGCCGATTGTCTAGAAAATGTGGGAACCTCGACGTCTCACAACCCTGTGGGCCTCCATGGCCTGTTACAAGAATACCTTTACTTTACTTACTTAGTCATATAATGGGCAGCAGACAATGTTCATTCACCTCAGATGGGTCTCTATATATTCTGATAGAGGACTCCAGTAATCTTTTAATGCTTGAAATATGACTGCTCTGTCTTATGTGAATAATGCAAGCAATTACCATGTATCCATCTCTTGTGCCATTACATTTTCTGTGTGTTATACTAGAACAGTAATTGGATCTCAGTTGTTTTTTATAGATGTAATTGTACCTTAGCATAATGACATGCTGTTAGAAACATTGAAGAATTGTTTTTATAGATGAACATTGCAAACAGTTTTCTGTATTCCACCCTGCAGTGGTTTTGGTTATGTTTATTGTTATTCTGGGAAATTATGGAGTGAAAGTATTCAGTGATTGTCTTCTGTCATTTAGGGTTCAAGTGTGCTGCTCTTCCTATCCATCTGTGAGTTAGTAATAATGTAAAATAATTTCAGTGATGTGTCACTATATCATTATATTTTTGATAGCTCTGTCATTTCTTTGTCATAGCAACCTTAATTCAGCAGTTCTTGTGTCACGCATACATTAACGTAATATAAATGGTTGTGTTAGATTAATGTTAATTTGTGACTTGAAGATGTACATGTATGTATGCATTCACATACCTGCCAAAATACTGAAGGATCCATAATCAAAGAAACATTATCAAATGATTATATCTTCTGGACTTTCTGGCGAAGCTAACTTTTTTTTTTATTTTTACCTTCCCTCATATTTAGTCTTAATGCAACAAGCATGTACCTAATGAAAAGGCATTTAAATTTGCAGTATGTAAACATGTAATGAGCCTCACATTTTTAGGTAAGGCTTGCATAAGTTTTTATAGACCAATGTGAAAATGGATATATGTAAATTGTTCCACTTGATCCACACCAGTTCTGGCACCCACCTAGGCTCTTATCAAATGGGTACTGGGGGCTCTTCCTGAAGTAAAGCAGCCAGTGTGAGCATAGGGATAACATTGCCTTTATCAGGAGTTAAGAAACAAGGTATGGTTTTCTAGGATGTGATGTGCTGTGGTGTGATAGATGGGTACCAACATTTTGGTGCCTCCAGTTTCCTTTCTTCAGAACATTGGTACCCATCTATCTAACTATATGCCATCATATCTCAGAAGGTTATAATCTTAATATGTGCTGCCATAAGAAGATCAAATCATGCACAGGAGTTTAGAAATCTAAAATTTCATATTTGAATATTATAAAATTATGTGGATAAGTACATTTCTTCCTAAGTATCACTGCTTTCATCTTTAGTCTGTCCTGAACTGAATAAATTATATTCCCTGTTTTTGATTTCTCTTGCTTTTAAGTTAAGTTTAAATTCATATCACCAAGATTTTGACTTCTATTCAGTATTTAGAAATTTGCATTTTCTGTTTCAGTGAGTTTCATTTTCTACCCATAAACATTTTTCCATATGTCAAAGTATTTCTGTTCTCTTTCTTTCTTTCTTTCTTTCTGCCTTTCTTCACTCATTCCTGTTTCTGTCTTTTCTGATCCATGGTATTTTCATCTCCAACTCTTTTTCATTCATGGTTATTCATGTTTAATTTATCTTCGCCTTTGCTTGTTATGGAGCATTGAGGGATTAAGCTCACAACAGTCAGAATTCTTATAGGGTCTGCCAGTTCCGCCTGTAATGTTTGAAAGAAATAATGCTTTTGTGAAAGTATTCATCAAGTATGACAGACTTAAAGAAGGTAGTGTTTTAAAAATGCTGTGTAAGGCAGGCTCTGAATTGCCCAACAGTGGGAATAAACTGTGAGGCAACAAAGTGACACTTGAAAGCATGATCAGCCATTCAGTAGTAACACAGATTTCATATCACAGCATCTCAAGAGACTCTTAAACAGTTTAAGAGCTCTTGCAGCATACTGGATTGCCTGTATGAGAATCCACTGTAATATAAGCATTCAAGCTGTATTGTTTAGCTGTCACATTCCAGAAGACATAACCTTACTAATTACCGCTGTGAGAACTACATATATACAAAATAATTGCTTTATATTTTGGGAAAAAAAAAATAAAATGTGAGAGAAGAAATTATCTGTCATGGTACAGTCATACAAATATTTCAGAACCCAGATAAATGTCTACAGAGCAATGACCACATGGTACAGTGATCGTTCACTGTTCTAGAGATATCACTAGTGTGAAATTAAAATATACTGCATTAATATAAACAACAGTTATTTTATTCTCTGTCAACACAACACACTTTTCAGCAGGTGGGGTTCCTGCTACCATGATATGTTTCGGCATATGTGTGCCATCTACAGGTCCTGTTTTAGCTCCAGTTAATGTATTATCAGAATTTTAGTGACTGTAGATAGGTTTTGGATTAGTAATCAGATTTATTAATTACAACTCAAAACTACAAGCAAGGATTACAACCTCACTGTTCTGCACACTTCATAAACCACTACAGGACACACCATGTCATCTCAGTCTTTTACAGTCTTCATTAACCATTGCTTGGTAGCAGCTTCCAACAGTGGATTTTCTGCTTCCTCTGAGTTCCCGAACTGTCCCGGGCCTCAACTACCAGCTTCTCATGGCAGTGGTTCATAATAACTGAATTCCAGCATTTATTTAACTCATTGCAACAAAAGTCAAAGTTATGTTATGACCAACAGTCAGTCGGCGAGTCTATCTTGGTGTCACCACCCATCTGGGGCCAAAGACCAGATTTCTATTTGTGTCAGAAAGTTGCGGGTTTGTTGAGGTGGGGCGCCCTCACTGACAATAGGGCATGTTGGTCATTTACAATTAATACTTTTCCTCGACAGTGCAATCATTCTTGGGTCCAAGTCCTGCAGGACTCATGACCACATTTTACTGTCTCAAATTTGAGATTCCCCTGACCTGGAGGGTCAGGTCACTGTATTTCTATCCTCCAGGAGCAAGGTGGCCCAGTTATACCCCCAGGCACTGGGCTCCCTTTTCATTACCTCCTCCTACTTGCAGGGCTACAGTGGAAGTTTTGGAACCTGTCTCCACGCGGGAGGTTCTTCCTTAGTCCCTTTGGTCCTGCTTATAATATCTCAGCATGGACTGTGTAGAAAGCACTGTTCCTCTGCTGCAGTGCAATTGTTGCTTAGTGATGGCATGATGTACTCCATTGTTGCATGCTCCTCCATCGGTACAGACTGTGCAGAAATCACGATTCCTCTGTTTTTGGTTAGAGGCTGCTGCCTAGTAACAGCCGGCTGTTGTGACTTCACAATTCTTGCTTTGAGCAAATATCGTACGGCATCATACATTTAGTGTAAATCTACATTTAGGCTGTGTGGAACCACTCGTGTGTTATATGCTATATATACTGTCACATGGGTCGTTTTTAGGTAATGGCTAGGTAAACACTGCATCAAAAGCTGGAATAGCAACAAACAAGCAGAAGTTCATTGCTAGGCAACAAGTCTGTAAACGTATCCCCATAACGACTAGTATGCCACAATAGGGGCCGTGTTTTCTGTGTGGTCTGTGCGAAGCCTATATAATGACAGCCTGTAGCTAGGATTAGATCAGTATTCATAAGAGACAAACCCATCTTCTCATAAGAGAGGATGTTACATAAGGACTATTACCGCAAGAGTTCAGTTGGAAAAAATCGCTGGTCGTCGGCCTCAATGGGCTTGACGCCAAGACAAATTGATTGGTGGTAAACCACCAGTCGTAAAGTAACTTTGACCCATGTGGAGGCAGGGTCGAATACCTCCACCATGACCCTGTGAGCCATAGGAGGGAATGAAAAGGGAAGTCTCAAATCTGAGACAGTAGTATATGGTCATGAGACCCAAGGGGCTCGGACCCAAGAAAGACTGCACTGGCAAGGGCCAGCAGCATATACAAAAGACAGACCTGTCCTCTCATCCGAGAGGGTGTCCCACAAATAGAAGACCGTAACTGCCAAACAGTAATAAGTATCAATACCAAGACTTGCTGACTGACTGACTGAATGTCACTCGCAGTGTCACTTTGACTTTAACTTTGGATTTGATCAGAGTTGAGTTGAGAGTTCAGTTCTCTATGGGAGGCTGTGAAGAAAAGAGTTGTGAGAGTGCACTTGTGAAGAGAAGACTTTATGTGTAATGTTTTGGAGTGTGTAATTCAGTGAGACTGTTATAGTTCCTTTGTTTTAATTCTGTTACCAGGAGGCGAATAGTGTGTATGTGCGCGCGCGCGCGTGTGTGCATGTGCATGTGTGTGTAAAATGGTGAATTATGAAATGTAGTAACAGCAGTAGTGTTATAATTCCTTGTAATTACTGGTGATGTGTATAAGGAGTAAATAAACCCATTTATCCAATCCAGAAGCCACGTTATTAGTCACTAAAACATGCAACAGTACTATATTATATAGCATAAAATGACAGCTTGTTATTTCTAAGTTTACACTGTTGTTTTAGTTAAATTTGCAGATCTTGAGTGTTGTATGTGAATGTACAGAACTGAACTCATTTCTTCTCACTAGACAGCACTGGATATTTGTGGCTGATGTGAATGCATAGTGTGTGTACACTATTATGAAATTATATTAATTGCCTTATTTTTTTGCTTAGAAATAATACTTTTTGAATATATTCGACTCCAGTTTGTGGTACTGATGTACTAAAGAGTCTGCTTGATAAAAGTACACTAGTTTCTGCAAGTCTGTGAATTCTGCCACAGGGTTATTTTTCCTGATAATGGCAATACAGCCGTTGTTTCATTTTTTGCAAACAATTTCAGATATTCGATTTGTTACAGCCCTCCTAGGAA